GAAATCTGCCCTCTTATGCTTTACGACTGCCTCTCGATCATCCTCGAAGACCGGACGGTGGAGATACCGCAAACGGTAGCCACTATATTCCTGAACTTCGCCGCGGACGCAATATTCAGCCGAGGGGTTTGCGACTCCAACTGCCAGTGTAAGAATGAGGAAAAAATTATTACGGCCCTCCTCGAGAAGAAAGCCTCACTGATGGTATCAAGCGCAGGACTGCCAGTTTTATTCCGCAAGGTTCGGGAATATCTGCCGAAGGACGATGATGGGTGGCTCGATTGTCAGCCCGCGCCAGTGGAAGAGGAGGACCCGGATAACTCTCCCACCGCACTCAGTAGGCTGCTGTCATGCCGGTGGAGTGCAGAATTCACTAAAACCCTCCAGCGCCACGCTTGCTGCAGCCTGGATGCCGCAGACGAGCTCAAGACAAATTTCGGCTCGAAAGTTTCCCGGCTCAGCTGCTACGCCGCGAAAAGGGTTCCTGAATCTGAGGCGCACGTCTTGCCGCCTCGGCTGCAATTCATGGTTCTGAAACATCGGGAACTGCCGCTTGCATCTTGGGCGGACTGTGAATGACGGATCTGAGAATCAGGCAGCGGGCGGGTATACTGAATCGAGGGCTCTCTCGCTCTCGTCTCGCGTCGTGATGTCGTAAATTTCGATGAAAATAAACTTCCATTGAGATTCGACCATGAAGTCTCTTTGTCTTGATGATTCGGGCGAATAAGCTATTATATTGGAGCTCCAGATGAGATTTGTCGATCCCAGTTCGGCGGACAGGTCGGCAGGGGATATCCAAGATAATTCGGCGGTCGGGGATCGATACCCTATGCTAGAGACTTTGGTCAATCGTAGCAACACTCGAAGCGCCTCCCGTCGAGGGGCCGAATCTGACTTCAAGGAATTACATGGATTGGCGTCTTGCTATGGAGTTACACTTTTTCGGATGTGATTTGTGGCAGAGCGGTCAAGAATCCGAGAATTATCCGTACCTCGACGAAAGATCGGAGAGCGCTCTTGTTTCCGGCATCAAGATTAAGAGCCACCTTCCCTCTTGTATCCGGGATGCTCGCGGTGGCAAAGAGGTCTAGGAGACTCAGCAAAAACCATACCAACCGACTGGTGTCTTTCGGGGAGTGACTCTTATCGAGGAACTATCAAGCTTGAAGTAATCGGACTGCGTAGACATGGAGGACTGCATCAGCAGGAAAACCCCCATCGCGCAGCAGTCGAGGGCTATCAACAACAAAATCGAGGATAAACTCCTGGCAGCACTCATCCTCGGGAAGCTGCCTGAGGAGCTCAACCCATTGATCCAAAGCATTGCACAGCAAGGACTCACGACCGATTCTGTGAAAGAGAGGCTTTTGAGTGAGGCCAGAAGGCAGCGGAAGAAGGAATAAGAATCTGCGTTTATGGGATCCCGGGCGCCTGAAGCACATCGAGGAAGCGAGGGGTGTTAAAGAGGTCGCATGAACCCACAAAGGGGATTCTGTGGTCTGCTGGTATGGCGCACAAAGCTGAGCGGTGTTCTGTTCGTTCCCGTGCTTACGGCAAATCAAATCTCAGTCAAGAAATTGGCCACGGAAGGGTTCAAGGTTGAGGAATTGGAATGCAACATTTTGGATAAGAAGAGCGGAAAAGCGTGCGCCGTGGCGCGGTGCTTGGGTCCGGACTCAGAACTGTACCGCTCGGACACGTGTTCCATGAATGCTATGCTAACATATCTTACATCCCGCGAAATTCTCTTGATCCTTTGGTCCGAAGAGCGAGCGGAGTATCGGTGGACACCTGTACTTCATAGTGTTTGAGCGCTTTCTTCGTCGAAAGAGAGATCAGACATGAAACGACTACGCATTTCTGTCCTGATATGAACGGCCGTGCCGAGAAGGCTCTACGAACCTTACTTAAGAAAGCAAGGTCGATGTTGGTGGATTCAGGTCTCGGACGGGAGTCCTGGGCAGAAGCTATCAACACTACATCTACTCTGGAGAACATTAGTCCGACGAAGGCTCATGAAGAAATGTGCCCCGAAGCGGCTTGGTCTGGGAGGAAGTTTGATGTGAGTTTTCTCCGGGATTTTGGTTGTTTAGTCTGTGCGCACGTAACGAAGGAGAAGAGTAAGAAGAGGGATAAGACGGCGAGGATGCGTATCTTTGTTGGATGCTGCGCTGAATCGAAGTCCCACCGTCTCGTACCACTTCGTGATCGATGGTGGAGAGGGCGAGAAATGTGTTGACGTAGGATGTCGCACTTTCTATAGACCCCTCCCGAGAGTAAACAAATGCAAGGGAAACGGTACATGGTCGATAATATCTTTTCACGACCGTCCTTCCTCAGAAGAAAACTATGACTCGGTCTCGTCCTCCTTCGGTATAAACTATAATGAATATCCACGCTTCCTTGTGGGCCGGGTCCAAATTCAGTCACGTTTTTGCATGGTATCGATTGATTCGATTTCATCGAGCGTCGAAGAGTTACGAAAACAGCACTTAAAAGGCTGTGGTTCGAATTGTGGTACGAAAGTCGCAACATGATAACTGATAACATGATTCATGATTGAGAGAGTGGAGCTAAAGGGCACCACAATAGTACCGCAGTGTGTCATGTGATGGGAACACCGCATCCTCTTACTGTGCGTTTACATTACACCGGGATCCTCGATCGAGGACGTCATCGGCTTCTTCGATTCATACAGTGCAGTCATCGAGTCGACAGAGCCGACTTCGAACAAAAAAAAATGATATTATGCGGTGATTTCAATTGCGAAAAAAAAAGCCCGCGACACGAATGAAAAGTGCTCACTTACATGCGGGGAAATTTTTATCTTGAAAGAGTCAATAACACGAACATTTCCACTTCCCGCAATGGGACTTGCATCGACCGCACATTTTCCAGGGGAATCGAAGAATACCGGCATGTGATCGATATCAGCTATTCTAGTCACCACAAACCTACTTTATTCTGCCTCAATTAATGAAAATGCTTTTGCGCAGTCCTACGGAAATTCTCTCTTCGGTCACGACCAAATATACGCCTGCGGTCTTTTTTTTCGATGAGACCGTGATGGCGGCTCATGGGGTATGGGATGGGTCAATGGACGAATCGATGCTTGTAGCGGGTTCGGAGTTGGTGCCTCTTGTAGCAGATCCGGGACAAGTGCTCGAGGCTGAAGGTCCGAGATCGATGCTGCTCTTGCTGGATTCACAGCCGATGTTTGGAGTGGATCCGAGACCGATGCTTGGCGCAGTCGGTCCAAGATCGAGGCTAGTAACGGGTTCCGGTCCTTATGATGATGATCACAGAGACAGGTGGTCAGATTGGTATGAGTATGTTTGCGCGTCTGGCCCATTTTCCAAGGCGGAGTATGACTCTCCGTGCTCTGTCCGGGAGGCCCGCTCAAGGGATGATGCTGATCAATGGCGAGCTGCGATGGAGGTCAAGATGAAGGCCCACGAGAAAAGTGGTACTTGGGTCTTGGTCGACAGACCTGAGGGGAGGAAGATCATCACGTCGAGATGGGTTTTCCAATTGAAGCGAAACAGTCAAGGGGAGATCACGAAGTACAAAGCCAGGCTGGGAGGTCGAGGCTGTGAACAAACGAAGGGAGTAGGCTTCGATGAAACGTATTCTCCGGTCGTTAAGATTTCGACGCTCCGTTTCCTGATGGCGCAAGCGGTGTGCCAGGGATGGAGAATTCACCAGCTGGATGTTGAAAAAGCCTATCTGCATGGTAAGCTTCAGGAGGAAATACTAATGGAGCAGCCAGATATGTTCCACGAAGCCGGGAAGGTCTGTCTGCTCAAAAAATCCTTGAACGGCTCGCAGCAAGCGGCGAGAGTATAGTTCTTGGCCTTAAACTAAGCGCTGAAGTCCTTGGGTTTCATAGAGTTCGGAGCAGATCGATGCTTCCACTCCTTCGAGAAGGAGAGCCAGATACTCGTGATGACGGTCTACGTCGATGATTTCCTTATTTCCTTACGAACAGTGATGCTTTAAGGGTGAATGTTGTCGAGAGGCTTTGGGAAATCTTCCCCTCAAAAGATTGGGGAGATGCTGAGTACTGTCTCGTGATAAGCATCACCCAGAGAGTCAAGGATCGACTGATTCTCTTGGTTCAAGCTGCAAACATCCGAAGAGTTCCCAAGAGGTTCGGGATGCAGCATTCGGAACCTGTGACAAGGCCTGCTGTGCCAGGCGGAGCGATTGAGGAGGCAATGGATGCCCCGTACCGCGAAGCGGTCGGATGTCCCATCCACATCTCTCAAACAAGGCGCCCCGGTATGTGCTATGCTGTTCGCCAAGTTGGCCAATTTTTCTCAGATCCTTCGACGACCCATTGGATTGCGGTAAAGAGGATCTTGCGATACTTGGAGGGAACCCTAGACTTCAGGTTGAAGTTCGATGGGTACGGACGGAGAGTTTCGCCGCCTACTCTGATGCCGACTGGGGCGGTCGTCGTGAGTGTAGAAAATCGACTACATGCTACGCCTTCATGATGGTCGAAGCTTGCGTCTCCTGGGTCAGTAAGGAACAGCCCACGGTTGCGCTGTCTTCGACCGAAGCGGAGCATACGGCTTGTCCAGCAGCCTGTCGAGAGGTGAAGTTGTTCGCGAATTTCTTTGAGCTTCCTACTGTGGAGTTGGATCGTTCGTTCACTCTGTGGTGTGACAACCGTGGGGCAGGGTTGTTGAGCGCCAATGGAATACAGCACAAGAGAACAAAGCGAATTCGCGGTGGAGATTGATGCGATGTCGGCTCCAAGTGAACGGACGAGAGGTCTCGCGCCAATAGCTTCTGAAGATATCAAGTCGCGTTGAGTAACATCTGCGGCCTGTCCGGGCACAAGACAAGCGACTGATTCCTAATACCGTAATCCACTGAACCTCAGGATCACGATTAGAGCAAAAAGAAGCCTACGGATTTTCCTCAAGAACACGCACTCTGTCTATGAGCGGCCGACTCCAAGTGTTTCAGGCAGCTGTGTTTCCGTGTGTGATCGACCTTTGTATCGCAGGTAGTACAATAAAGGAATTTCCCACGCGACGGGAAAGCTCCCGCCGGTGTCGGCTCTAAGTAAATGGACGAGAGGGCTCGCACCAATCGCTTCTAAGGATATCGAGTCACCGTTAGTGGTGACCTGTCCAGAAAAACATCTGCGGCCTGTCCGGGCACAAGATAAGCAACCCATTCTTGATACCGTAATCCCCTGGACCTCAGAGTCACGAGTAGGGCAACAAGGAGCCTACGGATTTTCCCACGACAGTGTTGCATGGTGGTGTCCTATTCCTCCATTGCTATAAAATGCGGCTTCTCCCTGACAGACGCCAAAGCTGGGATAAGCGCTCAACTTGGTATCAACGTGAGTAGAGCGACCTGGAGTGGCCGTTTTGATGATGTAGGCGGATGAAGAGTCGATCTTCGAGTTCACGGAGTCTGAGAAGGCATTCGATCTGACAGGATAAGCTACGGCACACATTGGTAATGTTCGCCCGAGTTCTACTCATAGCTGCTGCGGCTTCTGTCGCTTGCGGAGACCCTGCCGCCAACTCTCTAATGGATAGAGTTCTCGCGGATTTGAGGAATCAGGTGAGCTTCCAGCCGAGTAGACGCTCTATAGGAAATACATGCGTATTTTTCTCTGAGAGCATGTCCGGAAAAGCTCCGAAGGTTCATTGCTTTGTTTCCTTTCCGCAGCTCAATACCCTAGGCCTCGATCCTGCTCGGGCGAGCCCGTTCGAAGTTTTCGTTCCCTCGAATGGTACGTTCGCACGAGCTGCCATGATCGGTAGATCATTCTATAGAACGGCGGATCGTTCCTAATCGCGAGACAATCCCCCATCGCTGACGTCTCTGGAGTTCCACAGGACCTTTCAACCGCGACTTGAGAGCCAACTTCACTCAAGGATCAATCGTCGGCCTCGGCGGACTCGTGCGTACCGGCGATTGCATTTATCATCAAGCCGGTTCCAATAGATTGTTCATCTGCAATGTGCTCTTGGGCTCAACTCAAATCATGATGAATGTTGATGTCCAGGTAAGTCGACGATCCTGGTACTCGGTCGAGAAATCCTGATCCTCAGAATCGACGCCGTATGATAGCGAACAACTCATGCTCATCACAGCCCGGTAACGACGGAATTCCCGCTTACAGGGAGACAGCGCGATCACAGTTCATCCTATCTCGACCGGCACTCGGATCGACAACGGAACTCAAGCTGTGATCCAAGTTCACGGCATGCGAGGATATCAGCCTAAGTCCGTTCGCATTGAAGTTGACTCAATTACGGCTACCACCAGAGTTCTCCGGGGAAAGCTCGAGTTGAACGCGCCACGGTACGAAGATAGAAACTCACAGTCGTGATTCTCAGTGAGATCCTGCAAAGTAGAGGATGCAAAAAAAATATTATCGGATTCTGTTTTCAGCTTCGCCGAATTCTCTCGCCAAGTGAACCGAAACATCTCCGCCCAATTGGTGAACACCCTGACCGGTCCCTACGCTCAGGCTCTCTCCAGTGCTTTCGCCAGATATACGATGCCTTGAATTTCGGGACAATCATGAAATACCAATTGAATAAAGATATGGCGTTTTATCCATTCAGAGGAGGACAGTAGGTTCCTAAGAATTTCTACCTTGTGGTCCTGAAGTTCCCGGACCGTTTCTTCCAGCGTTTCGTACCCAATGCATGTTTATTCTTCTAAAGGGTATCGAGTTATATTCATTTCTCGACCAAAACATACACAACCGTCCGGGTCGTAGCATACCTTTTCCATACATATCAAGTAATGGTAACCATGCCACGTCAAGATACATAGTACGAAAATGAGTTTCCTGTTCGGCTGGTGGTTACGCCTCCATTCGCCCGTTCTTAATGCCAGGCCCTTCGAAAAGTTCGCTTCCTCGAACTTTCGGTCCTTTTCGTTACAACTCTCTGTGTAGGATCTCATCACTGGTTCGACCAACGTATTCGAGGTTGACTCTGCTCACGAACAGCGCTCGGAGCCGTTGTCGTTCGGGTACATGCTCCACCGCCCTGAGCGTTGTCATCCGGTTAGTGCCGGGGGATTTGTTGGGGATTGTATTTATCCCACCCCCTCTCGATGGTCTTCCAGTGTTCCTCCTTCTGCTAATTGTTCGCCATTGGTTTTGTTCCACCTTCTCCTCGAAAAATTCCCTGCCTGTTAGCTTCGGCGTCGTGGGTGCCATCGTTGTCGGACGTCCATGTTGCGTGATTGGTGTTCTCACAGCTGATCTTGATCGAGATCTTGATCTATTGATTTTGGAGCTGTTCTCACCTTCTATCTTCCTGTTGATTCCTACGAGTCTCCTCCCTATCGCCTTCAATGGTTCCGTGTACTCACAATGACCTTTGATGTTCTCGTGAGTGATGATGAGTCATTGCTATTCGATCCAGAAGCAGGCTTTGCATTTCCCTCCTGCGCTGACTGGGATTTGAGAGCAGCAGTGTTCGTGGGTCTCTCGTTTGCAGCGCTCGCAGCGTGTTCTGTAGCTCGAGCTCTGGAATGAGCCATTGCGAGCTGCGCAGTTCGGTCCTGGATTTGCCTCGATGTCTCGTGCTAGCAGCAGGAATAAGGCCAGAGCAGGAGGTCGAAGAGTTCGTGTTCGTCCGACATTGGGCTCCCGTCCTGTATTCTGTATGTGCATATAGATCAGAGCGGTGCGCCACGCGGTCGAACCGCCGGCGCGCCGTGCTCTGGGGCGCGCCGCCAGCCGCCGCAAAGCTTCCAGGGTACGCCGCCGCGTCGCCGCGGGCGATTTTTGTCGGCGGCGCGCCACGTGTGTTTCCCGAGATTTCCACTAGATTACGCTATATTACTTAACATCATGTGAGATATGAAGGAAGGAAGACCCCAGACCACAAACGAATCGCATTGGAATCTCTCCCCATGAAACGCGTACAGGTTGTCAGAGATCGAGAGACTCCGGGAGCTCGTAGCGCGAGATTCCTATAAGAATCGCTCAACGAGAATCATTCAAATCGAAGCTCATTTTCCGGAACCCTGTCTCCGAATTAGTCTGAGAACGTTGTTTAAACGCGATGCCGACATGCCCTCCGTCTCGCCGTCCAATGTGACGAATTCGACATCGAGGCCTGAGAGGGATCGCAGCGTTCCCGTGGTGTTCATTCCTCCGAGATCTCCTCATAGAGACGAGTTTGGTAGGGTTTGTTGTTTCTTGGTGGAGATGTTAAGGAACTAGGCGTGAATGGCGGATCCGAAACAAGAAATCTCAGTGGTTCTCCACAAATCGAACGCTTCGATATACCAGTCAAAGGTGAGCTCTTCTTGAAGTCGCCAAGCAGCTGGGGATCCGCTCCTCTTATGAGACTCCCGATGCTCGAGACTTGGGAGAATGAGTCTTAATCGAACGGATTCCCAAGGGCGAAATCTCCGGATTCTGTGATGTTCTCCTTCATGCCATGTGTCGTGTCCTTCTCTCTTCTAGCTAAGGCAAGAGATGATACGAGAAAAAGGGAAAATGTGTACAAAAATATAAGTGGCTTCCCGTAACGGGTATCAATTATCACGCCGCCGCGAATTGTATTCCGCGTCGTGAAACGCCGCGGCGCGCCGCTGCGAAAAATTCCCCCGCCGCCGTCGGATTCGATGGTGGCGCACAGCTCTGATATAGGTGCTACGGGGTAGAGCGCGGTCACTGCCCTGCGTCGCGGTTGAAATCTCTTAGGCGTTCCTCAAAATCACGCCCATGAAGAGCATCACTTCCAAAAAGCTTGTTCTCAGCATCTTGCACATGCACGTCGGT